TTTTCTACATGAGTGGAATTTGCACCGCAGCGCCCCCACAACTTGATGCTCATGACAAGAATAGCATGTATAGTTAACTTTATTGAAGTGAATTAGGTTTAAATCGCCGTCACGCATGAATGAATTCTATTTTTGCAATTTTACACATAACAATCCACGATGATCACATTACACAAAACTGAAATTGCATGTCAAAATAACACATTGTCAATATTTTTTGAGACATGCCAAAAATCATTAATATTTTTTAATATTAATAAAAGATCATGTTCCATGAAGATATTTTGTAAATTTCCTACAGTATACATATTAAAACTTAATTGTTAATTGGTAATATGCATTGCTAAGAACTTCATTTGGACAACTTTAAAGGCGATTTTTCTCAATATTTAGATTTTTTTTTGCATCCTCAGATTCCAGATTTTCAAATAGTTGTATCTCGGCCAAATATTGTCCTATCATAACAATATCCCCACAAAAACATAAGTATATATATATATATATATACTTATGTTTTTGTGGGGCTATATGTAAAACCAGTGGGGGAAACTGGTAAAACAATTGGCACAACTGTTTTGTAGCAAATTCAAAGCTGTCAGATTCCTCTCGAATTGCTAAAGCACTCATGCCATCTGTAATTAATGCAACTATGTGACTCCACAATAATTTTCCACACTTCAAGTTCACTAAAAGAAAGTGTCAAAAGACACTCGTTATTTAGTCACACATTACAAGGCATGAGTCAGTGAAGCATTTAACCCGCATTTGATTAATTGTTGTTTTGGATGGACCTCACATCCTCGTGTTTCAGGTTCACTGAGGGAGACTGTTACAATGGTTACACGCTGAAGGTGTTAAACATTCTGATGAAACCAGCGTGACTGCAGGCAACCTTTGTCCTCATTATTTAATGTAGTTTTTATAGAACTTTATTTGTATGTGCTCTTTCAATTGCAGGAAGACCTGGAGACAATGGAGGCGAGAGAGAAGATCGAGCTGGAGCAAAACAAACAGAAGAAGCTCTTCGAAGGGCTGAAGTTTTTCCTAAACAGAGAAGTTCCCAGGGAATCGCTGGCTTTTCTCATCAGGTGAAGGAGTGTGACATACCAGCTCATTTTTATCACTCATCATTTTATCTATGGCACTTTCCTTAAACAGGGTACAAAATGGTTTGCTCTTCCTTTTTTTTTTAAAGACGCTAAGGCACAAATCTCATTTTCTTTAGAGGTAGAACTCGATGTTAGATTAGATGTTTTTGATAATCTAGTAATTAACATAGTTTACATGAAAAGTAGATCAAGAAATATGTATTTGTCCCATCTCAGCTCTATACAACAGTAAAAATCATGCAATAATGTCAGTAATTACGACTACTGAATTTCTATTAGATTTATTTTTAATTAAGTAATAAATTACATGATGTTTAGCTGTTTCTCACACCCTGTTACTGCATGGATATTTCCTTGTATTAAAAAAATGCAACTCTAATAATGTGAGCATGGTGGGAACTTGGGTGAATAAAGGAATTTTCTCAACTTTTGTCAATCAACTATTCAACCCTATAATCAAAGTTATTGTAAAAAACAATTGTGCATTTTTCCTTTTAATTATTGAGAATAATTTTAAATATATATTATTTTCCATTCTTTAATTGATTTCTATTTGTTTTATAATTTTTATTTTGTTTTAAAATTGCAAACCTTGTATAAAAAAAATATAAAATGAAACCGCTCATAATATTTAATCTGAGCATCTGAGGTGGACAGACAGTATTTAAAGCCCCTCTTTTGTCTGAGCCACTATTTAAAGGGGTCATATGATGCTATTTTAAAGATCATTATTTTGTGTATTTGGTGTAACAGAATATGTTGACATGCTTTAATGTTCAAAAAACACATTATTTTTCAAATACTGTACATTATTGTAGGTCCTCTATGCCCCGCCTCTCTCAAACACGTCGTTTTCAACAAAGCCCCCTCCTTTGACAAGCGCAGTCTGCTCTGATTGGTCAGCTGACCCAGTGCATTGTGATTGGCCGAACACCACAAGCACGCGTCGGAAATGTAACGCCCCTTACCATAATCGCGAGCTTCAGCTTTCAAAGTAAATATCAAGACAGTTAATAATGTGGTTAGTTTTACCATCAGTTCAAGCCCGAAAGGGCAACAGAGTCGCGTGACAGACACAGTGATGATGCAGTACACAAGCCGCGGTTAAGACAGCCGACGTGCTATGATTTCTGACAGGCAGTTCACTCTCCTGTGATGTGACCCTGTTCCCCTCACACACACACACACAGTCGCTGATTCAGAAGGGCCAGATTGTCATAGCAAAGTCGAAATTTATCCCTTTTTTTAATTTATTTTTTTTAGAAATAGCTTTTGTGCACAGCCAGCCTTGTGCTCTTCTAGGTTCAAAAAACTGTCGTCCATAAAATGCGTTGCACAAATTCGAACATCTGGGTTGTGCTGTTCTGTTGTAAATAAATCTTAACCAATGATTCCTAATTGCATCTACTTCCGGAAGGCCAAATAAAGTGCTTTTGCTTTCACACTGAAATACACAACGTCTCCCTGACATGCTGCATCAACACTACTGCTGTTCCTGAAACCACGCCTTCTTTCTTTGCGTGCACATTTGGGCGGCATTATGCTAATATTTCCACATAGTGACGTAGATATGTGGGGGCATGTTAGAACGAGCCGTTTTAGGTAGGCGTGGTTGACTCTTAACTTTTATAAAGAATATCTCTTTGGATTTGAGACTTTAGTCTTTGCAACTTTACAGATCTTCTTTATGCGCCAAGAGCTTGTAACACTCCAAAGAGAAAGGAAAACTTGAAATCGCATCATATGACCCCTTTAAAAAAAAAAAAAAAAACTATTTTGGACCCTATTTGATGAAGGTTTAAGTTTGTGGTGTATTTGCATACAAGTCAGTGGTGTTCTAGTATCATTGATATAGTTTTTGTAAATATTTTAATTTTAGTTAAACTTTTAGTTAATTTATGTGGTTTTGTCATTTTAATCATTTTTTAAAATATCTTTATAGTTAATTTAGTTTCTTAATTTAGTACTTCAATATAAAATAAATGTTTTTATATTTTATTTCAGATAATGTTTATTTTATTTCAAGCATTTTTTTATGGTTTTACTTTTAGGTTTTTTTTTTCAAAGTTTTAGGTTTTAAAAACCCCAAAACATGTAACTTGATGAATTGCTGCCGTTCATAGTTTGTGTATGTACAGTTTTACAGTTTTTGTCAGTATATAAGAATGTGTTGTACGCTGTGCAGGTGTTTCGGTGGACAGGTGTCCTGGGATAAATCACTGTGCATCGGCAGCACATATGATGAAACAGACGAAATGATCACACATCACATTGTGGACAGACCCACCATCGACAAACAGTACATCAACAGGTCCGAAACCAACTCTCACTGATTGTGGACGGTGTATACTTTACATTTATACTGTAATTAATGTATATTCTTGTACTTAATGTATTTTCATCCTTGCAGGTACTACATCCAGCCCCAGTGGGTGTATGACTGTGTAAATGAGAAGATTTTGTTACCTGTAGAGGAATATTTCCTGGGAGTTACACTGCCGCCCCATCTGTCACCATTCGTGGAGGAGAGTGAGGGAGATTATGTGCCGCCTGAGAAACTCAAACTCTTGGCCCTGCAGAGAGGAGAGAAGCCACGTGAGGGTTTTTGCCATGTGATGATATGTCATATAATATGTGAATTTTGAGTGATTGTCGACTTCGCAAACAAACTCTTCACAGAAACGGAAGAAGAGGAGGAGGGAGACGAGGAAGAGGATGATGAAGATGACGAAGAGGAAGATGATCAAAGTGAGGAAGAAGATGAGGCTGAAGATGAAGCAAATTTAGCTGAAATGGAGGAGAAGAGAGCTCAGGGAAAGGTAAGATCGTTTTCATTTTGCATAACTCATTTTTGCAGTTACACTGCTTGTTTGCTTAGTGGTGCTGTAATTACAGAATTGTAAGTGAAAACATTTAACCCTATAATGCCTGCTGTATCATATTTGATATGCAAAGTTCTCCTCTAAATCATCAACGTGATCAAAACTGCTGAAAAAATCTGTTGCACCACATACCTTCTGTTGACTGATTGGTAGTTTATACTTTTTTAGCAAGTAAATGGCCTTTTAGTATAATTATAAAAATATCCACCTTCAGCTCGTGGTACATTCTTCTTGCTGTGAAATCTTACTGAATTTTATGAAGTAATTATATGAATAACTTTTGTATTGTTAGTAATATTACAGTTAATGAACTGAAGCAACTTAGGTTTACTTAATTATCCATAATCATTCATCATTTTTCAGAAAAATCATGTTAAAATCTATCAAATATGATAAATCGGGCTGTTTGGAGGAACATTTATTTGTTCATCTCTTAATCATCATTGTTGTGTTGAATTATATGTATTTCCTCCACAATAAAAACCACAGAGCTTTGATCATAAAGCTAAGCATTTAAATATCATCTTACTAAAGCATTTTTGGGAGATACAGAGTAACAACTGATATGTATATGCATTTTATGTAAGTAGTCTGTTATACTCTTATAAAGATCTCATTGATTTACATTACAAGCTACCAGAATTTCATCTTATATTTATAAATCTAAATGATCAGCAACTGCACCAAATTGCATATTTTTGCTTCGTTTGGGCCTTTGGGAATAAAATGTAGGTGTTTTTTTTCTTCCTTGAGTGTGAGCTCCATATACTATATGAGCCATAAAAGCTTAATGTGTCAGAAATGACACTCAACAAAATACAAATATACAAACCTGTTTTTAGATTTGTTTTATATTTTGTGTAAAGTTTCAATAAACATTCCATTTTTAAAAATGTGATTTTTCTAACTTATTTTGTTTATCAGGCTTTACAGGGTTAAAAAAAGACAAAATTACATTATTTGATTCTAAATATGGATGATTTTTGGGATGGAATCTTTTTTTTAAGTTTGTTTCTGCACCTTAAATGAAACATTTTGTGGAGGAATATATAAAATAAATATAAAAAAGTAAAAGTTTGTCATGTGCTGGTTCTCCCTCAGAGGCTGTCAGTAAAGGTGACCCCTGGTAAAGTCAAACAAGAGAACCGCATGCGAACCGAACAAGAGGAGAAAGCAGAGGAGAAGAGGCTGGCCATTATGATGATGAAGAAGAAAGAGAAATACCTCTATGACAAGATCATGTTTGGCAAGAAGAGAAACGTCAGAGAGGTAAGCCTGCTTAGAAATAGATGTCATTTTACGATCGTATGTGCTTTCTTTTGTAAATTAAAAATACAATTGTATGAAAACACACTCATCTAACCAGGATAATGATTCAGAATAATGCTTCATTTTGATTCTTAGTTATTGTTTTTTTTTTTATGTAGTGAGCAGGGTTCCACGCTTCTTGAAAGTACTTGAATTTCAGACATATGGATTCAAGGCCTGGAAAGTACTTGAAAACAAACATAGGTCCTTGAAAGTGCTTGTTTTCCATCGCTACGACGGATTTACATCAATTGGAAAAAAATGAGGTAGCGCATTGTTGTTGTTGTTCTGCCGGCACACCAAAAATGATCCCCGCCACGGCTGCAGCTTCTCACCGACAACATAGTGACGCCGCTCGCATCATTCACAGTCATTTCTTTAACGAAAATAGATCCAAATATAGTAACAGCTCAGCCGCTGCGCATCTCTAAAAGACAACACAGCTGAGTTTCATTCATTCAATGAAAGTGCGTTTTTGAACGAATCTAGTGAGTCAGTGATTCATGATTACCCATACATAAAGATTTCATTCCTGAATGAATCAGCCGTTCAAACGAATCAAAATGAATCAGCTGTTCGAACGAATCAATTGAATGAATGATTTAGTGATAAAATTAGTGACTTACCGCCACCTACTGGCAGATTTAGTTAAATTTTTAGCGTATAATTTCAGTTATTTCAAATCATTTAATATTTCTGTATTCAAAATTTTATATTTAAAACATTAATCTCCACATAAATGTATGAATTTAATTGCACTCATGCCACCTCTGAGCTTCATTAAATGTCTGAAAATGTACCGACAAGCCACTTTTATGTTCTTCTGTGCCACCTCTGTACAAATTCATTTTTTATTAATACTAATTTCATATTATTGGTAACCTTTGTCTTATTCTACTTCTTATTATTTTGTTTTAAATAGAAATTCTAAAAAGCTTATAAACATACATTTTTGAATTTGACATGGATGAAAATGATGCCATTACAAAGGTAAAAAGAAAATACCCCTGTAAGTCACATTAAGGAGTCAAATGTCACCTCGTATTAGGAAGGCAAATTTTTGATCAGAATTTTTTATTATTGATCAGAAGGTGCTCCTTTTTTTGCTTTAAACCCTGTTAATGGCGCTATTTAAAAAATTGTCTTGTATGTTCTGACAAAGACAGAACGAAATGGCACTAATGATTGGGGGTGGAGATGGGGTAGCGTGAAAAAAAAAAAAACAGCGTGTGTGTTGATGCGCAGGTTAAATGAGCCAAAAAAGAGATTTAACTCGAACTGAGAAGTCAAAAATGATTAAATCCCCATAAGAAATATTAAAAACTAATGCAATACAGAAATTTCAAAGTTAAGGCATGACCATTGCTCAGCAAAATGCTCACTGGGACAGCGGGTCAGAAAAAAAAACAGGTGAAGAAGAAAAGGCACATGTTAACTGCAAAAGAATTAAGAATTAATGTGAAGAATTAGGTGTGAAACCATCAGGAAGCATATCATCTCCAGAGCAGTGGATGCGCCTGCATGCAAGTTTTTTTTTTTTTTTTTTTTTTTTTTTTTTTTTTTTTTTTTTTTTTGCAGATTTGCACGTTTCAAAAAATATTGACGTTTTGAGCAGCTGCATGTTTGAGCAGCTGCATTCCTCTTGGTCAAAGATGAAAAAATGGGATTTACAATAAAAAGTAATTTACAAAATTAGTTTGACTTGAGTATTTTTATTTGAGTGTAACGTCTCTTGAGTGAATGTGCAAATTTTTAATGTTAAGAGGTTTTACCATGCTATTACAACATTTAACCACTTTTTTATTAATTTAAAAATTGAGAAATTCTTTCCAATTTAAATCTTGTACAAGAACTACAGCAAAAATCAGTTTGATGCATATTTTATCAATATTTTAGAAATTTAATTAAGGTCTTTCATGACACTACATATGCTGGGGTGTGAATTTGATAGGTGCTTGATATAAAATAAATGGTGCTTTAAAAAGTCCTTGAAAGTCCTTGAATCTGGTGTTCATGAAAGAGTGGGAACCCTGAGTGAGATAGGAGTCTTTATGTTGATTTGTAAATGTGTGCTTTGGTTAATGGTTAAATGAGTAAACGTTGAACTAATTCACGGCTTGCACAGTGGCTGCCAAAGCCCTTTAAAAGGTGCTTGACCTACATTAGGCTCATTATTTAAGCTCCAGTGACCTTGACAGACTTCATTGTTCATGAATCTACCTTCCTACAGGCTAACAAGCTAGCAGCTAAGAGGAAAGCTCACGATGACGCCAACAAAGCAGACAAGAAGCAGAAGAAGAAGAAAAAGTGCTGATATTTATATGTAATAAAGTCTGCCAAGAGACTTTGAGAAGTGTTTCTTCTCTCATTTCAACTCATTGCAGCACTTAGTGGGGATTGTACATGATTTACTGAGCACGATGTGTCATTTTAGTTTGCCCAAACTGGTTTTCAATGACACTTTCCTGCATTTCTTATGTCTTTGCTTATCAGTTTTGACTTTGACACATTTATAATAAACAGAAGATAATGATTATCTTTAATGACATGAAGTTTTATTTTTTTTTATTCTGTGTGCATGTTTCAAATTTGTGAAAATGTTAATGTACTAATTTGGATAAAGGATAGAATTGCAATTTTAATAGAATTGCAGTTGCGATTAGAATCAACTAGAAAAGAACGGATGACAAAAAGCTGTCATATCAACATTACAAATAGCTGTAACTGCATCAACAGGCTCTCAGTATGTTACTACATTGACTATTTCCTTAAGCAGGTCATAAATTATACATTGTTTATATAATTACATATTAGTGATGTACACTGCTGTTTAAAAGTTAACTTTTTGTAGAAATTAATACTTTTATTTAGTGAGGATGCATTAAAGTGATCAAAATTGACAGTAAAAAGGTAAGTAAAAAGATTTATGTTTTAAATAAATGCTGTTCTTTTGAAATTTATTTTGATCAAACAGTCCTGAAAAGTAAAGTATAATGGCTTTTCAATATTGATAATAATAAAAAAAATGTTTCTTGAGCAGCAAATCAGTATATTAGAATGATTTCTGAAGGATCGTGTGACACTGAAGACTGGAGTAATGATGCTGAAAAAAAGACAACAAAAAACAGGCCTACCATCAAAAGCCGTGCTTGCACAGGTTCTGATAAGCGATATTAACGACGCCGTTGTTTACAATACAACCGGAGCACATGCCACTGAGGTGAGGTGCGGGACATTTAGACACGCACTAGAGGCGGGTTAGCCAATCACAACAAACTGGGCTAGCTAACCAATCAGAGCCCATTGCCTATTTCTGAGGGCGGGGCTTCATAAAAGCAGGAAATGATCGGCGCGTTTCTCAGAAGGGACAGAGCGGTGTGGAATAAAGGTAAATTATGTGAAAAATAATGCATTTTTTTAAAAACGAAGCATTAACACATGTTAGACTGCACCCCCTAGAAAAAAACCAGTGAACCACCCCTTTAAAAAAAACTTTTGAACGGTAAAAGTCAGTTTTGTTTTGTTTTTTAAATCTCTCTTTATGCGAGTAAACCTTTTGACTTCATCTTTTAGTTTCTAATGTAAATAGGCCTTGATACCCAAGGGGAAAGAAGTCTAGAATGTACTGAAGTTTCCAATGATCACTCATATTGTAAAATTCCTAAATGAAAAAAAAAAAAAACACTGACACTCCCTTCCCCAAGGACTCTTCTGTAGGACATCACAATGTAAAAGTGGCTTTCGGCATGAGGATTTTAGGCTCACTGCTGCTGAAAAGTTGATCCCTACACAAATTGGCGTTAAAGGCTAAGCCAGTCCCTCCGAGATTTTAGCTGGGGTACTAATGGTTAAACCATGTAACTTTGTGGGGAAAAAGTATGGCTCTTATGTATGTTCTTTAAAATTCCTAAATGAAAAAAAAAAAAAAACACTGACACTCCCTTCCCCAAGGACTCTTCTGTAGGACATCACAATGTAAAAGTGGCTTTCGGCATGAGGATTTTAGGCTCACTGCTGCTGAAAAGTTGATCCCTACACAAATTGGCGTTAAAGGCTAAGCCAGTCCCTCCGAGATTTTAGCTGGGGTACTAATGGTTAAACCATGTAACTTTGTGGGGAAAAAGTATGGCTCTTATGTATGTTCTTTGTAAAAACTAACATTTATTTTGCTTCACTTGCTTCATAAATAGGCCTTTTTCTTCAACGCGGAAGTAAGCCTATGGGTGAGACTTCCAGTTCATTAGCCGCTATAGGGAAATAACGAAGAATAAAAACGTGCAGTAAACAGTAAAATTGCACTACAAACTAGTGTATTCGTAATTAAGATAACACATTAAAATAATATGGTAAGACACACCAAGTTTCAATATCAAGCAGCAAAAGGAGCGGTTCTGTACAGCTAAAAATAGCTGGACGCGGATGAGACTGGAAGCTAGTTTTACAGATTTTCAAATCCACAGAGAACGAAGGTTGCAATGAGAAAATTCGAGTGTTTCAGATTGCATTGAATTCCTCATTGTGAATTTTCCAAGTACTGAATGGAGTCAGATTCTACTGGTTTAGGATGGCAAGCTGAATTATTTAGCTCTGAATGGTTCTCCAGTGTCCATTTCAGTCCTTTGTGAGATTTTGGTTATACAAGGTGTATAAAACTGGGCAGGCTTTGTATAAATCTGGATTTGTTTGAACTGAGTTCAAAAGTGATCCGCTCTCTTCTATTCTGTAAGCATGTGTATAACACGTGAAATGGTCTCTTCCTTTGTATGTCACACCCAAAGAGCCATTCAAACGCTTTTTTTATTGTATGAGGTGTTATACCTATACCCCTGGTAGCAGCTTTGTATGTTTTCACTTTCCTTGTATTTGTGGTGGGAAGTTATGATGTTGGTGTTCTCCTCGCCGTTGTGTAACCCCTGTGGGCTTTAGGCCAGGCAACTCATGGCCTTTTTATTACTAATTCATGTTCACGCACACAAGCATGCAGTGTTACCCACGTTACCCATCTGCATTCCAACCATGTCGCTCTTACACTGCCTGGCACTGGCATGACATTCTGTGTGTCCGTGTGTGTGGCTGCAGACAATGAACCGAGTGTTTGAGACCACTCAAAAGGAGATCTGGATGAACAGAATAATCTTGTGCTGGACAATAAGAGACACTGAGAAGTGAGCAAAATAAAGAGAGTGGATTGGGCCATGTTACTCAAGAGGAATGTAAAGATAAAAAAAGAGTATTGATCAGTGAATTACAGCAATATCAGTATAGATGTTACAGTATCCTAATGTATTTAAAGGGATAATTCACCCAAGCATGAAAATTCTGTCATCATTTACTCACCCTCCACTTGTTCCAAAGCTTTATGAGTTTCTTTCCTCTGTTGATAAAACAGAAGATATTTTGAAGAAAGTTGGTAACCAAACAGTTAAAGGTAGCTATTGACTTACATAGTATTTTTTTTCCATAACAACATTCTTCAAAATATCATCTTTTGTGATCAAATTTTATTTTGTGATTTTTTTTATTTTTTATTAAAATCTTTTTATTCAGCAAGGATGGATTCAATTTATCAAAAGTGACAGTAAAAGACATTTGTAGTGTTACAAACGATTTTTATTTCAAATAATGCTATTCTTCTGAACATTATCTATTCAGGCTTTATATACAAGAAAGTTTCATTAGACTAGTAAGCTTTGGCGTTGTCATAGCAGCAATAAACATGAAATATTTGTGCGTTATAATCAAATTTCAAAGACCCACATTAAGTCATTTAACCCTGTGGCTAAACTAAGGGTCACTCTTTTTCTGAGTAAACTGAGTATAATGCAAGTCTGGATGTGTCAACAGGAGTGGGATCTCATTTCATTTGTTGGTGGGTTTTATTTCATTTACCTCAAAGCAATGATGAACTAAGAATTTTCCGCGTCGGCTTTACTTGAACCTTGTCAAACACTGCGGTTAACATTACAAATCTGTGTACACAACTCCAGCACCAGTTTTGTTACGGTTAATTAAAACTAAAACTATATTAAAAATATGAAATAAAATATGAAATGAAAAATTAGTAATGTTTCCTTCACAACTAACTGAGGTTTAAAGTACTGAAATCACTTCATAAAAAAACTACTAGTGAAATAAAAAATAAAGCTAAATGGAAATATTAAATAATCACTAATAACAAAGAAAAAGCACATTACAAAATTTCTGAAACTTAAACTAAAATTAAAACGTGAAAACTAAAAATAACACTTCAGCACAAAGGTCAACATGAAGTGTATACACGTTCATAAATTCATTTTAAGGATTTGTAACTTAACTTTTAAAACAGAAGGACAAGATTCCTCAGTCTCAGTTGATCACAAATGCCTCCCAAAAGTTACAAAAACACAGTATGCTATAGTAGACGGCCCTGGAAAGAGCTTTTGAACTGGATAATGTGTCAAGTGATTGTGTTTAATTTATGGTCCAATTTCTGGGTGTTTACTCCTCCTGGCACAAATCTCTGTATGGAAACTCATACAGCAGCCTAAGCAAACATTGAGATAAGAAGGGATTCTTCCAATTGGTCACTAAAGCAAACATCCAGAAATAGCAGCACGAAAACCATCAATATTATCCAGAAAGAAGTTATTCCTTGTGGCAAAAGTTCTTCCTGAGCTTGTCTATTTCTATAGATATGTGCACGGGTCAATAAAACTAACTGTTGCTAACCCATCATGTAAATAATACACTTACAAATGGCAAAAGAACCATATAAGATGCAAACATACTTAGGAATAATCTGGGCATTAAACCCTCATGTTGTGTTCCGGCTTTTTCAGTCAAAAACTGAGGTGCATATGCTGAGATCAGAAATCCAAAACCTGTACTAATTGAAAGAAAACATGTTGATGAAAAAAATTTGAATCCAAGGTTTGGTGATAATTATAGCATTACAATTACACCAGTATTAAAGTCATTACACTGGTTACCTATTAGCTTTCGTATTGATTTAAAAAATCTTTTATTAGTTTATAAAGCATTGCACGGACTTGCTCCAGACTATCTTTAAAAACTGCTTACAGTAGTATATGAACCTAGAAGGATCCTCTGATTCTTTTCTTCTAACTGTACCTCATAGCAGAACTAAAAAATTCGGTGATGCTGCTTTTAGCCATTATGCTCCTCGCTTCTGGAACAACCTACCAGAGAACATAAGATGTGCTGAAAACATGAAAAGTTTTAAATCTAAGTTAAAAACATATCTTTTTCGTCTGGCCTTTCTGTAAAGACTTATAAAACCTCTGTATTTTTCATGTGTTTTGTTTTGACTCATTTTTAATGTTTTATTTTATATTTCATATTTGAATCTTTATCAACTTTATTCTTATTTGTGTATTTCAATGGGTCTATTTTATTTTTGTTTGAATTCTGTTCAGTTTAATTTTTATTAATCGCTGTATCTGTAAAGCACTTTAAATTGCATTAACTTGTATAGAAAAGTGCTATATAAATACAATTTGCTTGCTTGCTTGCTAGCATAATGAGAGATTTATAAGCAATTTCAAAAGGCTTATAATTGTTGGCTGGGATCAGGAAATTAGGTAAAGGATTTTCAACACAGCATAAGGGTCAAGTGTTTCTCCCACTTTTAAAACCATTTCTGTGCCACTGATTTTTGACCAGTTTACTTTCATTTCATTTTATCCTCAAACATCATCCATGCTAAGAATGTGTTTTTGTGACTTGGACTTGGAAAGCTAAGTAAGCTGATGCAGTTTGGGGACTTTGTGTACAACCATATACCTGGAATTTTGTATTGGGCTCTCTCATGCATTTAACTACGCTTTCTAGCAACTTTTCAAACCAGTAATCTGTTCTCAATAGCTCTCTGTTTCCACCTTGAACAGATCCCTCCTCTCTTTTGTTCCTTTCCCTCCCTCTTGCTCGTTTTCTCTCGCTAACCCTGTTCAGTTTTGAATCTCTTCCTCTCCTGTTCTTTTTCTGTCTTTCTGTCTTCTTATTTCTCATCCTAACTTCACCTCACTCTTTCTTTCTGCCCTCAACCTTCTCCTGTACTCTCATTCACAAATGCAAACAGACACACAAGTGCAGGTCCCCAGACGGCTGATCTTGCGTCACAGAGAGCACAAGCCGAGCCTCTTCTGTATGCAGTTTAGCCAGCTCAGCTCTACATCGTGCAGATGGAGGAGAAGGAGATGAGAGGCGGGGGCTTCAAAATCATCAGGTGTGTGTGTGTGTGTGTGTGTGTACAGGGTGAATGATCATCTGGATATTTCACAGAAGATAAGAGGGATACAGATCTGCTAATCTTGGATAGCACGACTGGACAGTTAACTGTGAAGGAATTGCCTTGACCATGCATCATTGTTAACAAAGTCATTTTTCATAGATTTCTCAGAGTCATTGCTTTTTTTCTGCCAATCAAGCTGTGACAGGGATATCTACATGATTTGGTAAGATATTAAACAATGTTTTATATTTAATCTTCCATACAAATTGTATTGGGAGAATATTTACAGTAATATTTTTATTGCCATTGTTTAAATAAGTCTGTAGTAACTCACAGCAAAAATCTGAATTAATAAGTATTAATCAATATTTTTGATGTCTATTTTCTAGTCTAAACATCCTCACAACTGAAAAAGATCATTGTTGTCAGAACATATTTCTGATGAATTCAACGTTTTCTGGGTTTAAGCATAAACCTCACTAAATTCTGTTATATTTATTAAAACAAGAAAGTAATAATTCACCAATGTGGTAAGAAAAATATTTTTAATTACACATTTTCTGTGAAAGCCTTAATAATTTATACAGTTTTGCTTCTGAAGTATATTTATCTTGTTTTATGTTTCTTTAGTGAAAAATGAAATAAAATGCATATTATTTATTTGCGTATTAAATTTTTATTTTATTTGAAATACCATTTGTTCCAAAAACACTTTTATATCACCATGAGGCCTCACAATGCTGAATCTATTGAAACGCTATCTGTTTCATTCCTAAACTTTCCTCTATAATCAAGCTGCTCAATCTGACTACTTTATTGTGGCAAAGTAAAAGAAACCATTATTCTATTTGTATCCCATCACCAAACTTCATTACAGTGGCTTCTTGTCTCTTATGAATTTGCCAGCAGCACTTCAGATATCACATGTGACATTCTTTGTTAAATCACAGAAATTAATCAGATTGCATGCAAAAATTGCCCAGTTTAAATGCACCCATGAGTAAATATAGCATTCAACATCTCCAAAGGCTTTTATACCACACTGATAGACTACAAATCTCCACGAAAACAACACTTGTGTTTGATGGATGCAAAGATGCATTTATACGTTTTGTCCTAAATTAGAGCTGCAGCTGCTGTAGTAATTCTTAGTGGTTATGTAAAATCCTCATTATTCCTGACCATCAGCATAACAATGATGATGTTGTTAGAGTTTTTGCTGTCAACAAAAGATGACTTTGAAAAATGCAGTGTTAGAGATCGCTGTAAATAAGAACAATGGGTTCCTTCAGACTTCTTCGCCCCTTTCTAGATTTCTAGTCCCTGCTGTATTTGAGAGAAACAGCTTTGTTCCCTTGGTCTCTCCATCTATCTTTTGGTGCCGGTGCGCAGCAGCATATGGCTGTAGCAGTCAGTGCTTCTAACATGCTCTCTTGGTAGTATTAAGTTATCCACCTGTGGCCCCACACTGCAGATATCTGATCCTAGACTACGAGGCATGAAGAGATGCGGACAGTGTCACTTTTCTTCTGAATGCATAATTAATTCGCTGGACAGCTGGCCCTCGTGAACCCCCTGCAGTAGCACAGTCTCAACAACTGCAATGCATTCATCTCAGCATCAGAATATTTCAAGATATTTCATAATCATAGATATTTTTATTTGGAAAATACTTTTAATATTTAGTTCATTGCATTTGTTTTAGAGTTTACATGACATGTCAAGCATGTCCTGCACTATTTTAAACTATTCATTTAGATATAGCATATAATACATATTTTTGTTCATATATTTAATATAGGGAGAGATGATTGATTATATGATAACTACTTTTGTTTGGTCAATCGCGACATTAGCGCGAATGCTGTATATCGGCTCATCCGGGTAACTGAAACCGGCACTACAGCATAAGTATAATTACTTGTATATATTTATAAGTACTTTTTTATATCACTTATATCATTTTGCAGACTCGCATGCTCTCGTTTTGACACAAAGGCAACTCGAGCCATCTAATGTTTCAGTTATCGATTGTAGTGAAAATGATTTCGGGGTACTTTAGTATTACTGTGGGACAACATTGTTTTTAAGCTTCAACTTTAAGATAATATACAGTTAAAGTGATAAAATAATTTAAATTAAAGCTATATTTCATGTCCATGTATTAATTTATGTGGTGACTAGCCGTGTAGGTGGCATAATACTGTCAGACGATACTTTTTCATATTTAGGCCTATCCCTGTTATATTTATTATATTATACATGCAGTTATATGCCATTAGATGAGCTGAGAGATTACATTAAATATTTTTATATTTAAAAAAAATATGAACCTGCTATCATGCGGTGGAGGACCAATGAACTGTTTTTTTTTTCTTATTTACTACACAAGTAAAGTAATACTGTACGTCATTATTTAATCTTGACAAACTACACATTGTTAGAAAGTTCAAAGCCTTGAAATTAATTTGACCTCCGTTTTGTTACAAATATCTTATAGTGACTATCACTTTTTTTTAAGTCTGTTACTTTCATATGAAATATGAACCTTATGCATCCACTGAGAAAAAAAACAAACAAACCAAAAACTCTTGTCTGCTTCTCATCAGAGTCCTTTACGTCCCTAAGGGCTTTTAGTCCAGAAGAAAAACTTAAGGATTCGCATGTTTACTTTAAATTTCTTAGAGAGGAGTTTTATTTTTTTCTCTTTCAGTGGAAGTAAATCTGTAATAGAGAAATACAGAATACCTTAAAATAAATAGTGACCTGTCACATGACTTAAGATGAAAATATTCTAGAATCCCACATAGCTAAATTACCTACAATGCCAGTGCAAATCCCCACATATAAGCACATGTTGAGCAGATGTAGATTGCATGGCTGAACTCAAGGGAGAAAAGCAATTGAGTGAGCAGCAGTGTACCTAAATAATTGGGCACTTGAGGAAATGGAGACGAATATCTCTTAACACACTAGAAATGCTTCGATAATCAAATGCTAGCAGCACTAGAGGACTGTGCATATGTAAGCACAGCAGATAGCGCAGCACATTTTACTATATTTATGTAAAAGGAACTTTAGAGATATAAGTTGCACTTAGTAGAACTGAATCATTACTGAAGCGTCTTTCTCTTTGCTTCAGGATTTTCTTCCAGGGTCCAACCAGGCAGCTATGATGGTTGGAAAGCCAGTCAGGCAGTGGAGGTCCATCTGTAAGGGACTGATCCTGGGCGCGCTCCTGACCATCTGCATGATTCTTTTGTACTGCCTGTCAACCTCAGTGGTCCAGTTTGGCCTGCAGGAGTGAGTCCCTTCATGTATTTTGAACAAGAATAATGTACAACAGAAAGCAGTTTATTTTAAAAACCAAGTCAAAGTTTCAATGGATTAGAGCAGGATTTTGGTGTGAATTTCATGAAGAAATAGTCAGGAAATATTTCTTCCCAAAATCAAAATAAAACAAAAATTAATTATCTTCATATTCATAAAGAAAATAATTATTAAGATCATTTCTCCCTAAATTATTCTGTCATTCTATTCTGACAGGAAACATTGTTTAAAATTCAAATTTTAGTTAAATTCAGTACAAAATACTAGCAATGCATTTTAATTCTTTTATGTCACCAAGGATGCATTTATTTAGTAATATTGTGAAATATAAAAAAATAATGAATATTACAAATGTAAATCTGTCTATACTGATGCTTAACTGTCACATGCCACCTTTCTTGTTGAAATTTGCTGAAATAAACTGTATATACATGTAATTATATATATGGAGATCAAAATTAGAGAACAATTTCCTAAATTCCAAGGTCACTGCTTAGTCCTATTTGAAGTTATCCTAACAAGAGTAGAAGGGCAGTTTTTTTAAACATATTTCATAAATTAATTGTATTCTGAAGCACAGTATAAAAAAGTTAATTGAGATATTTACGTGAGACAAATGCACAAGAAGACAGGATAATGCAGAGACTCAATGGGCAATCGGTTCAACACTGCAGCTGGAATTGCTCGCCAGTTCAGCGCTGATCAGGATATAGATCTGTCTCGGCACGTTTAAGAGAAGTTGGACTGAAAACTCACTGTGCAGCGATGAAGAATCTCCCAATCAGCCTGCAATTTTCATGCAAGACAATGCCCCCGTCACACTGCAAAACGGATAAAGCTGTTCCTTGAAGTTAAGAATAATGAAATGGTTGGACCAGAGATCTAAACCCAACTGAAAATCTCTGGAAAATCCTTGGCAACAAAGTTATGGCTAAGAAACCCACTACAGTCACCGAACCGTGGAAGAGACTGGAAGAAGAGCAGACCAAGATCACACCAGAACAGTGTGAGAAACTAGTGATGTCCTGAAGCCGCAGATGTGCTGAAGTCATTCAAAGCAAGGGCCTCTACACTTCCAGCTGTAACCCTCCAAAACTTTAGTTGTAATCTTCTTTTGTGCTACAGTGGTTACTGTTCTCTAATTTTGATCACCGTGTTTTCAACAAAATAAAGGTTTTTGTTGAAATGCCTTGATTATTTTGTCAAACATGTTAGTAGAACCGTGCTATAGCTACAGCTAATATTCCTTCAAATTGTGAGCTATGAAGATTATCAATATTTCAGAAAAAAATCAAGTATTTATAGATTTTTCTCTAATTTTGATCTCCACTGTATACACACAGTTTTCTGTTTTCTGATCATAGCAGTGAACAACTAATTCTAAAGATGATACAAATGCATCTAAAATTCATTCAAATTACAATATTTTTGTTCATTTTTGTTTACAGGGTCCCAGTGCCTTACTCATGTGCTCATCGCCCTTCTGCTGCCCACTCCTCACCAATCTCTAACAGCTCCCATCATGCCTCTGGGCAGCGAATCTGCACTCCAAAAGTGGACATCATGTTCATGAAAACCCATAAAACGGCTAGTAGCACTTTCCTCAACATTCTCTTTCGCTTTGGTGAAAAACACCAGCTCAAATTTGCCTTCCCCAACAGCCGCAATGACTTCTTTTACCCGTCCCCTTTCCATCGCTCACAGGTGAAGGACTACACGCCCGGAATGTGTTTCAACATCATCTGTAATCACATGCGTTTCAATGCTGCTGAGGTGGCCAAAGTGCTTCCAGCCGACACCTCGTACATCACAATCCTCCGGGACCCGGCTGATCTCGCTGAGTCCTCGTTCCACTATTTTGGACGCATTGTACCTCTCACTTGGAAGATTTCAGGAGATGACAAGTTAAGAGAATTCCTGACGGATCCAAAGCTTTACTACGACCCAGAGGGATTCAATTCGTTCTATCTCAAAAACTTGCTTTTCTTTGACTTTGGACAGGATAATAACTTAAATCCAGACGACCCAAAGCTAGACAAGGCCATTCAAGCAATCACCAAGCACTTCCATTTGGTCATGCTTGTGGAGTATTTCGAGGAGTCGCTCATCCTGCTCAAGGATGCCCTCTGCTGGGACATGGAGGACTTGCTTTTCTTCAAACTCAATGCCCGGAAAGGTTCAACTGTTTCTAAACTGACTCCAGAGCTCAGGGCCAAAGCGCTGGAGTGGAACGCCATCGATTGGAAGCTTTACCAGTACTTCAACGCCACCTTCTGGCATAAAGTGGACGCTTACGGCCGTGAGCGCATGGCGAGAGATGTCGCAGAGCTGCAGAGCAGAAATGCAGAAATGGCTTCCATTTGCATTGAAGGAGGCCATGCTGTCGATGCAGGAAGCATCTTAGAGACTTCCATGCAGCCGTGGCAACCCATCGGTGAGAAGTCAATTATGGGATACAATCTGAAAAAGAATGTTGACAAAGCACATCGAAAGCTCTGCAGGAAGATGCTCACGCCAGAGCTGCAGTATCTCACCGATATGGGCGTCAACCTGTGGATAACAAGACTGTGGGGTCACATAAGAGAGATCCTTCACTGGTAGCTCAGAAGAAATGTTTTGCTAAGGTGAAAGGTCAGCACTGACTTTATGGAAGCTTGTTTCCGCCACATAATAAAAGATTAAAATGCAATTGTGACTTTTATCTCACAATTCCACCTTTTTTCTCGCTTTTTTCTTGGGTTTATGTCTCACAATTCAGACATTTTTCTAAAAAAAAAAATTCTTCCACAATTCAAACTCTTTTCCCTCAGATTTGCACATTTATATCTCACAATTCAGTTTATATCTCGCAGTTTAGACATTTTATATTTTTTTTCACAGAAATGTGAGATATAAACTATATCTCAATATACTTGTTTTTAACAGGCTTATTTCAGCCAAGAAATAAAAAATTAAAAGGTAATTGTGACTTTTTATCTTACAATTCTGACTTTTCTTCTCGCAATAAGCTTTTTTTTCTCTCAGAATTGCAAGTTTATATTTCACAATTCACAATTTATATCTCACAACTCTGTGAAAAAAGTCTTTGAATTGCAAGACTGAACTGTGAAATAAAAACTTGCAATTCTGAGAAGAAAAGTCAGAATTGTGGAAGAAAAAAATTTGAGAAAAATGTCTGAATTGTAAGCTATTAACTGAATTGCGAGATAAAACCTTGCAATTTTGAGAAGAAGAGTCAGAATTGTGGAAGAAAAACATTCTTAGAAAAAAGTCAGAGTTGCTCTTTTTTATTTTTTTTATTCTTTGGCGGAAATAAGCTTCCATAGACTTGTACACAACCAACCTAAAACTTGTTTTTCTGTGTCAGAAAGAGATAAAAACATTAAAAGACATGACTGAATAAAACATTTTCATATTTAAATGAATCTTACCCAAAATAAGTGGTGACAGTCACATCTTTAACATGTTAGTTTTGTGTTCAGAAATGTACTGTAAGTCACCACTATGTATTACATGTATGTAGTGTGTGGGTGCTTGAATCAATCATAAAAATGAATCAACTACTGTTGAATGACCTCATTATTTGAAGCTCTTATTGTTGGTGCCAATGGCAATAGCAATAATTTCTTAAACTGGTTTAGACTCATTCGGAACTTGAGCTTTACTGTTATCATCACATGAATGATAAGTAACTCCGATAATGAAATCCATGAAAGATGACAAAATAAAAACTTTATGTAACATACACGTGTCTTGTTCATGTTTCACTATCACTGTTAGCATCTCTTCTGTCTTTCAGAGTTCAGAATGGATAAATGATGAATAAACACAACTGATTTCTGTTGCCTTTGGTTGATGTTGCACGTGAATATACACACATTCTCTTCTCACAAAAATAGAGCTGAAGTGTATTATGAATGGCATTAACCCAGGTTAGACTCTTGCAGAAAAACCTTCTGGTAGTTGCAGTTGTGCTGTTTGATAATGCTCACTGCCCTATCTCCGTTCACCCCCAAAGAAGAAAGGATTGGCAGTGCACCTCAGTGGAAGATAACCACTTCATAAATGCATTTCAGTACCATACATCATGCACTCATCTACCTGCCAGCAGGCCTGGAAGAAAAACCATCCTGTGTTTGAAGGGTAAGAAATTATTTTATTTGTGGTTATGATGTGACATAATGAGCTAACGCCAGTGTAATTTTAGTATCACTGATAAAATATTTGAAGTTCGTTTCTATTTTATATGTTCTGTTTTCGTTTTAATTTCATTAAAGTTTTAGGGATTTTGTTGTGTGATTTTGTCATTTTTATTTTATTTATTATTATAAATTTGTCTAGATTTCTTTTTTAGTTACGTTTTAGTTATTTTAGTAGCCTACTTCATTCAACTCAACGAAAATGCTGACTTGGCAACAAAAATGTTGTGTGTGTGTGTGTGTGTGTGTGTGTGTGTGTGTGTACAGGTTTTTCTACACTGGTGGGGACTTAAATTACTTACCCAATTACTTACATCTACATTATGCAAGGTAATGGAAAAAATGATAGTAAGAAGGTTGAATTATTTTTTGGAGAAAAAAGAAATATTATCATCAGCTCAGAGTGGTTTCAGGAAGAAGAGATCTACAATGGATGCTCTGATATTATTTGAAAATTATGTTAAAAAAACTCTAATAATGAAAGAATTTCTTGTTGCTGTTTTCTTTGACATTGAAAAGGCATATGACACTTTATGGAGGGAGGGACTGTTAATTAAGTTAAATAAAATCGGAATAGGGGGGAGAATGTATAATTGGATATTAGATTTTTTGTTTGAGCGTACATTCCAGGTAAGAATAGGTGAAGAAATGTCAGCATCGTATGATATCCTGAATGGGACTCCACAAGGAAGTGTAATCAGTCCAATTTTATTTAATGTAATGATTAATGATATATTTGAAAGAGTTAAACCAAGCATTGGGAAGGCATTATATGCAGATGATGGTGCAGTATGGAGAAGAGGTAGGAATTTAGGAAATGTAGTTAAAGGAATACAAGAATCAATAAATGCGCAGATACGTAGGTAATAATTAGTTGCACAAATGCCCTCAATTATATTTTTATTTCGGGATCATATGCGATCGAAACGGTCGCAATTTCGAGCCTTCAGGCAATAGTTGTGCGGGCAAATAAGGGAAAGTAAGATGTGGTGTTTTATGGACAGCAGGCAAAACAAGCTAGCCATGTGCCTTACATAGATTTTCCTGGTCTTTAGATACCCAAGCGCTTTTGTTACCTGAGGTCTTCAAGCTTCACATCCAGGTAAGAAAAACTTCAGAATAGATACAATTACAGCTATAACTATTCCCAGGTAAGTAAAACATAGGTAAAATTGCCAACAACAGTGTGGGCTCCATACAATTACATTTCTGAAGACCTTTTTATGTACCAACCACCAATAGAAAGCAGATATGATCACCTTTCTGTCTCCTCCTCCCCACATCAAACAGTGAACATCACCAAATAGAGCAGTTTCTTATTATCAGTCAGTCTTTCTCTGAGGCAGTTTGGTAAGCTGTCAGTTGCCACTAACATTTACTCAACTTTTTTTCTGTGATAATTTAAGATCCTGACATGTGATGACTAAAATCCTTAATCTAGTTAAATATACTGTACAACTAAAAACTACCAGGCTTTAAAAAGTGTATCATAAAAATTTAATTGGAGAAAAAGTCAATTAAATGTGGCTTCAGCAGACAACCACAACACTGACGCCTGCACGTAGGGGATGCTATAATTGACAGGTGAACAAAATGTAATGCACCATTACACTGAATAAAATGACAGATTTCTTTCAAAATCTGCTCCTAAGCAGTCTCTTTACACATAAAAGGTCCACTAAAACATGTTTAAGCATTTGAGGTGAGAAATAGACAATGTACTAATAGAAGCTTGATTTATATTGATGAACACAGCCTACTTGGACCGTTAAATCTCAATTTTGTGAACCGTCCCCCTTGACTTTTTTGAGTAAACAACATGCACACATGTTTTTGTTTTCTGAGATGCTGGTGATAGTGTGAGATCTTGTAGTACAGTGGTGTATGTATAGTAGGACCTTTTACAGCAATTTAATGGTTGAAATACAGAGGTTCTGTGGTTTGTGTGTGTATATCAGGCTGTGAAGTTTGATCAGATTTTACTTTTTGACAGGATCCATCATGCCTCTGTGGAGAAAAGGAGAGAAGTGGTCCTGAGATGCCTGATTGAGTACATGGGGGAGAGACAGGAAGACCTCATCAGTGTCCACCACGTATGTATTGGGCTTAAAGCTAGTATTACTTTTTACAGTGTATGATATCCTGAATGGGACTCCACAAGGAAGTGTAATCAGCCCAATTTTATTTAACGTAATGATTAATGATATATTTGAAAGAGTTAAACCAAGCATTGGGAAGGGCATTATATGCAGATGATGGTGCAGTATGGAAAAGAGGTAGGAATTTAGGGAATGTAGTTAAAGGATTACAAGAATCAATAAATGAAGTTGAAAGGTGGTCAGTAGATTGGGGACTGAAGTTTTCAGTATCAAAGACTGAATATATGGTTTTTAAAAAGAAAAAGAGAATGGAACAAATGACTCAAGTTATATGATCAATTGTTAGAAAGAGTGACCGAGTTCAAATATCTTGGATTAATATTTGATGAAAAATTAACTTGGAAGAATCATATTAAGAAATTTTAAAACAAATGCAAAGGAGTAATAAATTGCATGACTTCAATAGCTAAGTATGAATGGGGGGCAAGGAAAAGCGCACTGTTACATGTATATCAAGCCTTAATACGGTCTAGTATAGACTATGGGTGTGCAGTCTTAGAATTGACTAATGGACTAAATGACTAATGGACTAATTCTACTAACTTAGAATCTGCTGTGGAGCAATAAGGTCAACCCCTCTAGATGTCATCAGGGTCGAAATGGGGGAGATGCCATTAGATTTAAGAAGAGAAAAGCTTGCAATGATGTATTGGGTTAATCTACAGGGTAGTAATAAGAGTCATCGTACACGCACAATTTTAAATGATTGTTGGGAATATAAAAAGAATGGAGGGAATAGTTTTGGATGGAAGTATGAACAGTGGGTCTAGGATTGTGGTCTGGAGAATGAAGTAATCTGTCCCAACATGCCATTAAACGGGGTATCGGTATGGAATATTCCTGAACCTATTGTTGAAATGAGATTGTTGGAGGCCCGGGAAAAAGCAGAAGAAAGATATACTAATAGTTATGAAATCAATGTTTTTATGAGAGACATTTTTTATTCTTTTATACAGATCTATACAGATGGATCTAAAGACCCAATCAAACAAAAAGTGGGCATAGGAGTGTACATTCCAAGATTTAAGACGAAAATAAGTTTAAGGTTAAGTGACAAATTGTCCGTATATTCTACAGAATTAACTGCTATGATAGTAGGATTGCAGTGGGTAGAACAGATTAAGCCAAATAGAACTCCGACTGTAATTTGCTCAGATTCTTCATCAGCTCTTAAAAGTATATTGTCGACAAAAACTGATAGAGAAGACCTGCTAGTAGAAATTTATACATTACTGTACAGACTGAAAATAGAGGGTTTGTTGGGTACCGGCACATATCGGGATAGTATGAAATGAAACAGTTAGCTGAAGAAGCATTAAAGAAAAACTTGGTGGATG